TGTCCTGAGGAGGGCAATGTCCTGAAAAGGGCAATGTCCTGAGAAGGGCAATATCTTGCTCAGGAAGGGCTTGGTCCTTATGCTTAGGCCCTTACTCCCTGCTTTATCCGAGAGGGGAGATGTTGGAAGAGGAAGTGACCAGGGTATGAGGGGCCAAACATTATTATCTGAACTCTGTTCTTCATCCTTGCAGAGTGCAGGTCTTTAAGCGGGGGAAGCTGACAGCCAATGATCTTTTCGGCACATCACACAATTCGCTGTAGTCTCTGTTTAGAATGTGATGTTGCAGAACCAAAACAGACAGCAATGGAGGATGTAATAATTGATTCAATAATGGCTGTGTAGGTCTCAACCATCAACTTCTGTGAAAGCTTAACCTTCTTCAGCTGATCCAAGAAGGGCAGGTGCAGCTGGACCTTTAAGTTTCAAATTAATTTGAGTTAAATTTTATCTCTAGGGATAGACTGAAAGTTGTAGAATTACATTTAAATACATTTATTGACATGGGAAGAACCTAAATTCACAAGTAGATATTAAACAAGGAAAACAGTACGCTAATTCTGACTGTGAGTTGGTTATGGGTAAAACTGGTTACAGTGAGTCATAACTGGAATTTTGGGAACATTTTGGTTCCCTGTAAACTGCACCAACACTGGGCAGAGAGTTTCCTTGATAAGAGTAAGACTTTGGCAGCTCGGTTACACTGAACATGGAAACACATCCAATATGCTAACTCATTTGAGATGACATCATTCAGGAGTGTGTATGACTGGAGCAAAGCAAAAACAGCCTCTGCAACCTAGTCTCCCCAGGTGTGGAAGTTGAACATACCCGAGCTTCAAGAAGCCACTGACAGGGGAAGGAAAAAAAATCACCCCAGTGCATCTTCAGTTTTCTCTTACTTTCTTTTGATCGATCAAAGGAGGAGTCTATCCCAATCCTGAGAATAGCGTCTTTCTGAAGATGATTTACGTGACTCCTCTTTATAGCTTCCTGATTATCCCTTGATTAAACAGGAAATCATTTTTATATTATTGGATGGATGAATGGATGGATGGATGGATGGATGGATAAACAGGAAATCACATTTCATTGGTTAGCCCGCGAATAATATAACATACTCCTAACACACCCCCAATCGACATAGACCTTTCTAATTGGTTCCCCTTCCTTAGGTGTCAGCTGTGTACACCTAGGCGTCTCCTCAATGTCTGCCCAACGCCAACCCCAGTCCTTGATTACCACAAATAAATTCTTCTGTAACCTATGATTATTTTTCTTTCATTTTCTGTTAATCGACTAGTTGCCTTTTCATGGTGCCAGAGCTAGTCCAGTCATCAGAACCATCCTGCCTCCCATATCCTCCAACCCTGATCAGAGGATACTTGCTCTAGCACTGCATCTAGGTGGCTATCATCACCTGCTCTGGGTCATGGTACCCCAACAAGACAATACCAGAACCACTTCCCTACCTTCACTAAAACTTATATTTCCAACATAAAATGAAGCAAATATCAAGCTAAAAGATTAAAAGGGTAAATGAAATAAAATAAGTGGTACCTGGGATTCTAACATAAGAACTGCTCTTTAAAAACATTTAACTATTGATACTTACCAGCAATTTTTTTTCTAAATCTGCTAAACTTCCACTAAGGGGAAACAACAGATTAAAAATTTTCTTTCACATTTGGCATCTAAGGCACCGGGCTAAAATAATAACTACAAATTTAGGGGTGTTTTTCACTAAAGATATGCGACCATACTCGGCAGTAGAAAACGCAGAATTTAGACAGGATTTCGTTCATTGTGATTGTTATGGTGTTGTATTTTTGATTATAAAATTTAGTTTACATATTTATTTTTAAAAATAGACAAAAGGTCTTGTTATTCATATACATCGACAGATGCATTGCCTTCAATTCACAACTGTCCCTTACTGTGTTTGTGTTTGCAGTTTTAATAATATCTCGAAACAAATACTATTTTCCATGTTGTGTTTACTCGGTTTGTCCTTTGTATCATCCTAAATCTTTTAGGACATCAGAAACAATTAAGCGTTATGAATAAGAAAAAAATATAGGGAATCAGGAAGAGGGCAGATACTTTGTCACTGATATCATACATTATGTTACATATAGTAGTTACTATACTTGTTACTATATCTAATTCTGTAAATACTGAAGGAACTACTGAAGGGACTATTCAAGGAACAGGTAATGAATAACACAAGTGAAATACTGTCATGTTTGTTCATCATTAATGAATCATGACACATCTTTCATCTTAAGTAGAAGATTGTACAGTATATGTTCATGATTTGTAGTTCAGTAGTAACTTAGTTACTATTAAGTATTTGTGTCCCTTCAAGTAAAGTGTTACCCATTAGCCAATCTACCTTACTTTGTTTTCTTTCCATAAGTCGTTCCAGCAGGCATTGAAGCTTGGCAGTATCTGCATTTTGCAATGAAGCTTCTTCTTACTGGGTTACTTGCACAGATACTCCTTATTGTATTTGTACACAAAAATGGGCAAATAACTCTGGACTCCAGTACCACAACTCTGATTTTATGTGTCTGATCTTTCAAGAATCTTACATGAATACACAATGCACATTATTTAGTAGTAAATTAACCGTATATTAACAAAACGATAATTTATCTCTTTAAGAAAAAAGACGATTGTATGCAGATTGTGAGGTTATGTCACGAAGTAACGTGGAGAGCGGCGGGCTGTTTTTTTGCAGAGGCGGTTGAGGCTGGCTGCAGCGGGTGCTGCCATAGGACTTAGAATACGGTAAAAAAGAAAACTTGCTCAACTTGATTTTACAGTTTATGTGGTGTAAGAAGATTTTTTAATTAACTAAAGGAAGATGGAAGAAATGTTTTAAACTATGATAAATAGTTTTTTTTCTGCTGTACATTGACACTTCCGAAGATTTGGAACGGATATTCCATGTGCTTCGCTAAACAAGGACCCACCGAACGGAGCTCATAGCAGGATGGCGAGCTAGACCTATGGAGCAACTGTGAAGGATGAGTAGAGGGAACTTTGAATTTCTTACAACGTGTGCAGTTAGAATATGATGGACTGAATTGAACTGTATATTAAATGTGCACTGTTTTCACACATTATTTAGCGTGTTAGTATGTATGGGCGTGGCCTATATTTCACGCGGTGAAAACAGACCCAGCAGAAAAATGGCAGAAAACACTACTTTGGAATTGCAGATTGCGTTTTGATTAAAGGATACAGCTGCTGCAGTAATAATGAATATTTTATAAAGGAACTACCAACTGCTTGTTTTTGTTATATAATTACATGCATTGTTCAGTCATTCATTGCAAAGGACAATTACTGCTAAGTTCTGGCAAAGGCTTAAGGTCATAGCTGGATATTTTACTAATGAAGAAAAGCAGAAGCACTTTAGGTTAAAAGGAAGAATTAATTTGATATAAACATGTTGATTATTAATTATTAAAAGAGTTATTTCTTTTTAATATTGTGATAATTATCGTATTGTGAACCTTTTATCGCGATATTATCATACCGTGAGTTTTTGGTATCGTTACATCCCTATTCATTTCAGTTAGTATTGTAAGTATATGTAGAGTTTTCATTTAGGTGTACATTTTCATTTTTGTATCCTATTTCATTTCAATTTATGAAATAATACTTTTATTTTTCATTAACAATAACAACACTGGTCTGTACCCTGTGATGTACTGTCTTGTGCTCTGTACTGACTGGATTGATCACTATGTTATAACCCTAGTTATCTGACCTGTCACTACCACTAACAGTCAGGGAAATGACAGCTAGGTATTAAAAAAGTAATACAGCTCATGTATCACAGCTATAATCCTCATTTGTATCAGCAGTCTCTCAATATGTAGTCAGTGTTCCTTGCTGAAAGAATCAGACATAATATTCTCATATTCATTACATTACACTGAAGAAATCTCCACTGCAATAAAATTTTCCTAATATTACCCCTGAGTCATTAGCATATTGGAGGTCTAATTGAGTCATATATTTGATACTAAGAAACCTCCTTGGCAATCAATTCCTCATCCTTAGAGGACAGAAGGATGAATGAGACAACATGAATGGCACTCTAGAGTGTTTCTCAGCTTACTTCAGATGAAAACTATAAGAAAAAATTCTTACACACTCTGACCAATATAAATCAGATTTTTTTGTGGCATTGTCACAAAAGTGAAATTGGTGCTGTATTTTAGTTGAATTCAACTTATTTTCATGCCGTGCACTACCCAACATGCTTAAACCCCAGCTGGCGGCTAAACCTCTACTAAGGTAATCTGATTTTAATTAAAATTAAAATTAATGAGAAGAAACTATGTAACTAATTAGAGTACATTTCTTTGGGAGGGCTTCTTAAAACAGCCCTGGCGACACCCCTAATGCTTTGCCCAGCACCTTTCAAAACATGGTAATTAAGATTGACATAATAAAAAAGCAATTAAATGCTTATAGGATTAAATGTCAATTTGGAAAAAGACAACAAGGGAAACAAACTGAAACCCCACTGGTTGATACATAGGAGATGTTGCAATTCCTGCCAGCCCACCCACCTAACCCTGCTAAGAATCTACTGTATAACTTAGTTTTGTGAGAAGAAAATCAGGACGGCTTTCATATTAAATGCTGTTGTATATTTAATGACAAGAGATGAAACCATGAATTAAACAAAATATTTCTTGTTACTCTTACCCTCTTTATTTTAAATGTATTTGGCTTATAATTACCAGGTCTAATGAACTGAAAATTATATGTGCTAACAGAAACCTGGAAGTTGTGACTAAGCTTTTGTTTTCCACAGCAGATGTGAGACATGTAGTTTGCAATAATACATTTGTAGTCTTGTATATAAACTGTCAGACACCTTTTTATTATGTCTGTTTCTTCCTTCCAACAGATTTATTTACCTCCAAAGGCCCTAGATGACATTATCAAACAAATATAGGGCAGAAATAACAGACCTGATGCAGAATTTTGATTGAGGGATTCAGCTGTTCTATTCCGTTTCCATTCCATCTGTTTCCGCATCCATCTCGGCTTCTGAAGGAATGAGATTAGGCAGAATGAGTCGTACTAATTAAGACAAAGAAGGGTTGGAACAACGTTGCATATTGAGCAGTTTAACAGCAAACTAAAATAGAGGGTAATATCATCAGTATCTTTGTAATGGAACTTCTCTGTTTCTCACCATCCATCAGCAGAGCGGCAGGGTATTATGGTGCAGCTCCCAGCTAAATGAATAGCCTATGGGAGGGGCTGCTTCTTGCTTTAACCTTTGCTAAAAGACTTCCCAAATACGGCTTGGAAATGGAAAAGGCACCACTTTTTTGGGTTGTGAATGACACATAATGGACCATTCATCAGTCTGCTGTGAAGACAACCTTGGGTTCCCACCAGCGTTCAGAAGATTTAAACTTTTACTCTGTCGGATGTGTAAGTGACTACCCAAGGTCTGAATGTGCAGCGGGCTTGACAGACTGATTGTGTGCCCATCAGCCACCTGGCAGGGATCCATTGTGTTACGTTAAAAAACCTACTTTGACGGTAAAACAGGGACAGGCAAGGGAGAGAACCAAAATGGCACAAGATCTTGGATTTATGCAAAGGAGACAGGAAGGGAAAATAATAGCTGGATAGTTCAGGCCAACCCCCCCCCCCACCCCCCCCAATGCAACTAGCTTAATAAGCAAAGAGAAAAACAGAAAGGATAACTGACAAGAAGGACTCAGATGACACACTCATACAAAAATCCATGATGGGTATCATGTTCTCATTGTGTTATTCATTGTAAAACTTTGCCCCAAATTGTCCATTCGTGTTAATGGGACGAGTTTAAAGAGGTGGAGGAGCTGATTAGCTCATCAATCACACATGGTCAAGTTTACACAGCCTGGAATTCTGTTACACCAGCCATCTGGTTTTTTTTCTTCACTGTGTTTTGCTCAGCACCAACGGGAAGCAGCTGGCTGCCCAGATCCGTCCTGCGTTTAGGATCACAATCGCTGTATTCAAGACAGAATTCTGGGCCCAAAGTTCAATATTGTGCAACGTCCACTAATTTACATATAAGTCAACAGGGTGACATGTCATATTTTACTTTTCATTCCAAAAAAGATTTAATTAGTTCATGGTGTGGATTACAGAAATTTAATTTACCAATGTCCATATTTTCCAGGGGAAATGTATATGAATTATCATTTATATCAACTGATTATGGGTCTTGGTTTTAAATATACAATAGAATCATGAATTCAACTAATTACAGATCAGGATGGAAGAGAACATGAAGACAAATCAGCCTCATTTTTCATGGAAAAATCTACCATAAGCCCTCAGTGGAAAATCTCTGAGATCAGCTGCAGAATGACACATTCAGAACATGCCCTTACCTGCACAAGTGCATTTGCAAAAATGAAGGAACGGCTGCATCATTTGGGGAGGTATTTTGGGAGGCAGGCACTCATTACAGTGTATAGCTCACATTATTCATGGAATTGCCTTAAGGAACAGGTGCACATGCACCATGTGCTGGCATTTCTCTTTCTACAACCTGCTAACATCAGTCTGACTTATTTACAGGGTGATAAGATGACATTTAGCACAATGGGACTTACACACAAAGAGGATAAAGCTTCAGAGTTTGACTAAAGTATGATATATAAAGTATACATGTACGCTGCATAAGCAGACCGCAAGAGAGAATCAGGAGGCTTTTGTATATAAATTTCTTTCGATGTTGTTGCTGTATTAAGGCTCATTAACTAAGTGGAAGCAGCCACTGATTGTATATTACTGCATCAACCCTCTGCATTTCTGCCCTGTTCTCTATCTGACGGAAGGGGAGAGGGAGAGGCTCTGGCTATGATCTTGCCTGCAGGTGCTTTGAGCAAATCAGTTGTTTTTAATGAATGTGAGCCCTGGTCTCCGGAAGGGAAAACACTGTTCATCACTCCCACCTGTCCTCCATTAACCAACTGAGATTTTGGGCTCAGTTAAAAATAGTCCAGGGTTGTGACCCTAAAATTTTTTAAAATAAATCTCAATGCATCAAGGAAGCACTATCAATTGTGAATTTAATTCCACACAAAATACTACACGTGTATAATATAAATGACAAACCCAGGGTGCAAAAAAATAATGACAATAGAAATTTAACCTGCTCAATATTATTCATCTTGACAACATCCAATATCTATCTAACAGTTCTACAATTTACATTTTTACTTCAGGAAATCCAGTATAGTACACTCCTCACTGGCTGTGATGTGGAAGTGATGAAAGGCAATTTCCTCGGGGTACACACACCAGAAGACCTCCTCTGGGACCATAGACAGCATCCTAACCAGCCGTATGACCACCTGATACGGGAACCACAGAGTTAATCCTAACCAGCTGTATCACTGCCTGATATGAGAACCATAGACAGCATCCTAACCAGCTGCATCACCGTCTGGTATGGGAACCACAGACAGCAACCAAACCAGCTGTATCCCCGGCTGGTATAGGAACCATAGAGAGCATCCTAACCAGATGGATCACCATCTGGTATGGGAACCACAGGGAGCATCCAAACCAGCTGTATCACCGTCTGGTTCAGGTTCCATAGCCAGCATCCAAACCAGCTGTATCACCGTCTGGTTCAGGTTCCATAGCCAGCATCCAAACCAGCTGCCTCACTTTCTGGTACGGGAATTGCAAAGCCACAGTGTGGAAGTTTCTCAGCAAATAGTGTAGACAGATCATAGAAACTTCTTTGCCCAGCCTCATGGACATATACAACAAATCCTGCAGCCACAGTGCCCACTCTCTCACATGTGAGCCTTGGCGCCTGTCAAACAGCTTGATCACCCCCTTCCATCTGGAAAAAGGTTCCAAAGCATTCTGTCCACCTCCACCAGGCTCTGCAACACATTTTTCAGCTGTTTACTTGCACCGTGTCATTGTTTTATCATTGGTGTATATTGTTTGCTATTTATTTTCATTTTTTAAATTATCCCCCCATTATTTATTACACTGTTTATTGCTCCACTGTTCTTGTTTTGCCGGTCTGAAGCTGCAAAGAATTACAATTTCATTTCATTCGTGTCACGTGACAATAAAGTGACTTGACTTGCATGTCCAGTGTCACATGGGTGGATCCCTCAGTGCATTAGCACTGTGATGAGGGCTTTCAGTGTAACAAGAGACTAATTGGAATGAAGAGGGGATGTGTGACACAGCAGCTTGATTTGTGTAAAAAAGAAGCTCGTTATAAGTGTAGTTACTGGAAGACATATTTAGAGGACGTTTAGCAGTGTGTATTGTTCAATTAAAGGACCGGAAAACCCTGCAGCAGGTAACCTCTAATACGAAGGATAATTATAGGGATAATTTTTCTAATGTGGCTTGTGTTTTTGGTCTCTCTGACTTTTTTGTTTCACAGCATTCATTTTCAGATAATTTTAACTCTTGTTATGTATAATCACCTCATTAGTATAATTTTTGTTTACAGAAACACCTTTGGGCCAATGTGGGAATACAGTCCACAATAAATCGCTAATTTATCGGTTTTTCCATATGACACTGGATGCTGAGGTACGCTTGTCAAGGTTTATGGACATTATAGAGATTCACACGATTTGGACTGATATAGCAGAAGCCTCAAATGTTATTGATTATTTTGATTTAAAAGTTAATTTTCAGGCCATTGAGATAAGAGGACCAGGATAGGCAATTTGAAGATGGATGGAAAGAGGGATTGATGAATGAATGTAATGAGAGATTTCAAAGGGGGTGTAATAAGGGTAGCGGTTTCAAATGTAGGGGCAAAAATTATTACAGATTGTTAAACTGATGATACAATGTAACTTTTAAAAAGGTGTTTACAAATTATTACACCAAGGTTATGCCTATTCATGGCATATAATAGCCCCCTTTTGAGCGGACCAGGTGACATCTATTTCAGGTGGCAAGATCACCTCAGAGTACTCCACTCAGTCTGAAGGACCAACTGCTTGATTTTGAAGTCTCTCAAAACTCCTCACCCAGTCATGGAGAGTCTGGGAACCTTGTGGAAAAAACAAATTTCGGTCCTTTTAATTCATGACCTTATTCTTTCTGTCATTATCCGTTGCTCATGACCTGAGTACAGGGATATAGACTGACTGGTAATAGGGCTGAATGATTTGGGGAAAATATCTAATCGCGATTTTTCTGACACATTGTGATTGCGATTTGATTTGCGATGTAATTTTTTATGTCAAGCTTCAGTTCAATATTCAGTGTGTAGTAAATTTAAAACATATGACGCAGCATTACCACATGATATACCATCAAAATTTTAACTGGTCTATATTCTAATGCAAGGATGAGAATTTAAAGATGTGGTGCGTTAAGTTAGAATAAAAATGAAAACAATTGCAGCAAAAAAAAAAAACAATAGCGATCTTCCAGGTAACGCTGATTACCCCCCTAACAACACTAGAACCACCTTTTCCCACCCCAATGAACAAGCAAGAACTACTTCGGCGTATGCATCCCTAATTTTGTTTGCGCTAATGTGTTATTAGTGTTAATATAACAGCAGCGAATCTAACACTCTCAACCAAAAAGCCGTAATGTTCATAACAGAGAGGCAGTTCTGTCCTGAAACCGTAAAGCTGGACATTTTTAAACATAGTCTGCATTTAATAAAATGTCGAATAAATAGAAGTAGTTTATTGGTGAGTTCACGTTGGTCGAAGTTTCCGCTTTTTAACAACTGTATACGGTTATTTTCTATACAAATCAATTCAGGTGGAAAAAAAAATTGTAAGTGTTCAGGGTTGTAAAGAAATCTTACGGCAAATCTATATTATTCCATTCTGAACTTAAAATTAGCTGCATCAAAAGCGTTAGGGCAGTTTGCAAACCCTACAAACTACTTACAAGGTAATAAAACTTTTACATACATGTAAATGTGTCTGCAGAAGAAACCAGAAAATCTCACTCCATACAGCTGACTAAAGTTGACCACCCTGCATTTTATTTTAAATGAAAATGAAAATTTAAACGACTGAAGC